ACACCCAACCAATGATGTCATCAACCAACCAATGATGTCATCAACCAACCATTGACCCCAACACCCAACCATTGACCCCAACACCCAACCAATGACCCCAACACCCAACCAATGATGTCATCGACCAACCATTGATCATCAACACCCAACCAATGATGCCATCAACCAACCAATGATGTCATCAACCAACCATTGACCCCAACACCCAACCAATGACCCCAACACCCAACCGTTGACCCCAACACCCAACCAACAACCCCAACACCCAACCATTGACCCCAAAACCCAACCTGAGATGAAAGAGACCTCGCTGAAGAGCATCCACTCGGCGCTGAAGAAGAAGCGGCACTGGATGAAGCGGGCGCGGCGCCCGCCCAAGGGGACGGTGACCCAACGGGCGCTGGGGTCCTTGATGGCCCCGGCCAGGCTGTGGGTGGCCACCAGAGGCTCCCAGACCGTGGCCAAGCTCTTCTTGAAGCGACACTCGACCACCCGGAAGATTCCGACCCCGCGCGTGTGGAGGTTGTTGCAGTGGACCTGGGGGGTGACGGGGGAGTGACATCACATCCCATGATGCTCTGGGGCGAGGTGACCAATCCAAAGGTTCTCCAGAGGGACATCCCAGACCTCAAGGTGGGGTTGGTGTGGTGGCCACCCATCCGACCAATCCCACCAATTCCAAAACTCCCGGTGCCCAAATCTCCCAGAATTCCATGGGGCACCTGGATGGCGTGGAAGGCCCGGAGCTCCTGGAACTCAAACTCCAGCTCCACGTGGGGTTGGGGACCGGGGGGCCGCGGCCACCCCACGTAGTCGTAGCCCGGCCACAGGCGGCGCTCGCGGGTCCTCAAGAAGTCATCGAGGCCCAGGACCCCGTCCGAGAGCTGGCCCAGCCCCCCGAAGTGTAACCTGGGCAGGTGGGACACACCTGGGTATGGGGATTGTCCCATCCCACCCACCTGGAGATCCAGCAGTGACACCTGGGCAGGTGGGACACACCTGGCTTGTCCCATCCCACCCACCTGGAGATCCACCAGTGACACCTGGGAACCCCCCAGTGACACCTGGGCAGGTGGGACACACCTGGGTATGGGGATTGTCCCATCCCACCCACCTGGAGATCACCACAGGACAACCTGGGACACTTTGGGGACACCTGGAGATGGATTTGGAACACCTGGGAACGCTCGGGGACAGTTTGAGGCCCGCTGGGGACATCTGGAACAGTTTGGGGACACTTGGAGGGGGGTTGGATCCAGGAAATTCGGGAATTTTTGGGGACATCCAGGGCAGGTGGCCCTTGGGGACATTTGGGGACACTTGGGGACATCTGGGGACGCCGGGTACTCACGGGCCGGCGCTGAAGCCGTCGTAGGTGGAGTCGTTGAGGACGATGGGGACGGGGTCCAGGGCCATGACGTGTCCCCGTGGGGCCGTGTAGGACAGGAGACCCGCTGGGGACGGGGACACGTCAGAGTGGGGTCACCGTGAGGTCACCACGGGGTCACCGTGAGGTCACCACAGGGTCACCATGGGGTCATCATGGGGGCACCACAGGGTCACCATGGGGTCACCACAGGGTCATCATGGGGTCACCATGGGGTCGTGGGGTCACCGTGGGGTCACCACGGGGTCACCGTGAGGTCACCATGGGGTCACCGTGAGGTCACCATGGGGTCACCGTGAGGTCACCATGGGGTCACCACAGGGTCATCATGGGGTCATAGCAGGGTCACCATGAGGTCACCAGGGGGCCAACCATTAACCCCAACACCCAACCGTTGACCCCAACACCCAACTGTTGACCCCAACACCCAACCGTTGACCCCAACACCCAACTGTTGACCCCAACACCCAACCGTTGACCCCAACACCTAACCAATGACCCCAACACTCAATCAATGACCCCAACACCCAACCATTGACCCCAACACCCAACCAATGACCCC